TTTTCGTTGAGAAAAAATCGTCTCAGAATTCGTTCAGGAATATGATATCCAGGACATCGGGTTGTTTTGAATCACCCTGCATATTAGTGCGATTCACTATAGTTACGGGACATCCTGCATACACATATGCAATATAATAAAACTATTTCGACATTATTATACACTCTTTTAGCTGCGAAATAGCCAGATAACAATAATTGATAAAAGTGATAAACTCGATGCAAATTCGCGCTGTCACGCGCATTGACTCAGTCATTCTCTTCCTTTTCGTTTCCGTATAATTATACTCGCGCAGAGATAGCCGTCTCGATAATTTATAGAATAAATAAGCCGATGAAGAAAAAAATCCGAAGGCAGAGAGGACTCAGGGTTCTTCATCTCCGGAGCGTTTTTCACGAATATTAAATCGAATATCGCCATAGCGCCGCCGTGCTAGATGCGTATCGAGTGATCGCGCGAACGAAATGGCGCTCCCGAACCAATTATCCTTTCTCGAATATCCACAACGCGGCACCGAGCACCCTGAGGGCGACCAGGGATGCAGATGATGCGCTGCTGCTCGGCTTGAAGATCGTCATCGACAACAACGATGGTGTATATACAATATACAGGGTGTTTTAGGAGGAAAGGTACAATTCGTGCACACATGAAAATGTAGAAGGAATTATTCTCGTTTATTAGGCTTTCAAATTGATATCTAAACATTCACTTATATTCCTTTAGCCAATGCCAAATTCGGCCTGGTTTAATTTCAGGTAAAAAACAATCCGTGTAGTTAATAAATAGATTTATAGTTTATCTAACCTCACATTTTGTCGATAAAACAGGAAAAAACAACAGACTTCTCAAGGGCGTTTAGAATCCTCTTAACATGTGTCCAATTTTCATTAGGTATAGAGTTACAGCCGTTTGAGTGTTAAGCATCAACGAATTCTGCCACAAATGAACAAAAGTATAAAAATGAATTATTTCTGCAAAAAACATACAATAATTAATGAAGATCACATAAAGAACTTTATTCGTGACGGCATCAACAACACCCGTAACTCACATCGATGGTCCGACGAAAATCCATATGCCATTGTTGAAATGCATTTTCAACATCGCTTTTCTGTAAATGTGTGATGTGATCAACAATTTTCGTTTTTTTTTTTGCATAAATAAGTCATTTTTCTACTCTTGTTCATTTGTGGCAGATTTCATTGATGCTTAACATTAAAACGGCTGTAACTCCACATCTATTGAAAATTGGACACATGTTAATATAAACTTTTTTACTCAAAATGGTCCATACAATCTCCTGAAATATGTACCTTCCCTCCTGAAACACCCTGTATATATCTACCTCCACCCGTCGACGCACGTGTGCGTGAGATAATTGCTCGCTTACGATTTTGCGTAATGCGGTAGATACAAGATTGCGAAATCTCGGGATCAGAAAAGTGAAGCGAGGCAGCGCGGAACTGACTGAAAGAGAAAGAGAGATAGAGAGAGAGAGAGCGAGTTCTCGTAAATCAAGGGCGCGCGCGCGCGTTACTTGTAATAATTTCCCGATGCTAATTACGTCGAGTAAAATTAATCTCGATTCGATGATAAGAGAGCAACCACGAGAACTTGATCTTTATGCCTCGGGAGTGTGTAATAGCAAAAGGTTGAACGCGCATCGACTTATCTGACTGTTGCAATCGATAGAGCTGGATCTTATATATATTTTGTTCAGGCTCTTGTAGAAAACTAATTTACAGCAGGGAGTGATAATAATTAATGAGACGCAATTTATATACAATTACAAATCAAAATCGTAAGAGATAAGAGAGAGAGAGTGAGAGAGAGAACGAGCAAGAGGATCCAGAAGAAGTACTCGAAGACGGCTGTCGGAGCGCAACCTTTCGCCGCCGGCGGGACCACGTTGAAAGAACAAGAGGAACATCGTCGAGGAACAGAAATGTACGCGAGGGGTAGGGAGAGAGGGGTGTAAGCCGGCGGTGGGCCGTACACACGGCTATAATTACAGAGGGTAGAGCGGTGGCTAGACCCACTGCAGCAAAACTTACCGTTGCCCAAGGCGCCAGCATACTCGAAATCGACCGGCTCGGATCCCCGGCTGCGCGAAGGACCCCGGTCCTAATTCGTATTCGTGCCCGGGTGTAGCAGATAGGATACGCCTCGAAAAACGGCGGAAGGACTGGCAGGAATCTCCCGCGCTACGCCCTTCTTTTCTGTCGGCCGCATTCTTTCTTCTTTCGCCCGCTTTCGCCTTTGCAATGCAGATATCGGGTAAAGCGAGAAGAGAGAGAGAGTCCTTTGTAGCGCAAAGTAACGTCTTTGTAAGTGAAAGACGCATAGCGGACAGCTTCGAGGAGAGGAAGAAATAATAACGTGGCAGATATGCATCCCCAAAGAATATTATCAAGATCGATTCAATTATCTTAACGTTTCTTTTTTTTTTTTTTTTTGTATTTATTTCATATTCCAATGTATGGAAAAAAATATGAAGCAGAAAATCAGCATTAATTATCCCTTTCACTTGTACGGGCGAATCATATCGGAGCCAATTGATATTTTTTCTTCGGATGTAAGGAGAAGATGGAGGAGGGGACCTTGATTCTCTTCTTCGTGCTTTTATTCTCACTCCGGCGTAATACGCGCGAACCGAAGAGTGACGACCTCGAATCCTCTAATTTCGGTTGGCCGCAGCCACCGATAATTAACGAACTATAATCAACGGGCTACTCCACGTAGCGCAACGTAACGAAACGTAACGTGGCGTTCTCCTTTCGGATAGGAGCCTTCTTTCAGGGGGACCGCATTAAGTCTTGTACACACCGGCGTAATTGCGCGTGTGTATACGCATGTAAACATTATTTATCAGATATATCGCTAATTAGATTATGATGAAGAGTCACCGATGCTGAATAAAGCTTTCAGCTCGCGAGGCAGTCGTTTGTATACAAGGTGTCCCGTATTCAGTGAATCACTGATTTACAGTAGATTCTTGACGTCATTTGAAGACGATTTTTCCTTAGCGAAAATGTCGAGGCACCAATAATTTTCGAGTTATTAATGTTTTAAAATAAAGGATTTTTCGCAAATTTCAAGTTTTGCGGAAACAAAATATTAACAAAACCACATTCTTCAGTTAATTTCAGGTAGAGTTTATTTTAATAGAAATTTAATTTAAGGTTTAATTACAGAGAGAGATACATGATGGTAATTAGGAACATGTAAAAAATAATGACTTCCTCCGACATTTTCGCTGAGGAAAAATCGTCTCTAAATGACATTGGGACTCTAACTGTACATCAGTGATATGTTGGATATACCCTGCATATCCACAGCGCGGTTAACAGCACGTGACAAATTGTCAAAGCCATTAAAAAATATCCAGTCACTTTTAGAGAAGAGAAATTTAAACAGTTGGTGCAGCAGACATTAAAATATGTTCGATAAGGAGTCATTAAAGTTTTTCGCGAAATTATATAGCTACCAATTTTTTATACTCCAGAATTACGCGGAGAATAAAAATATCATTATTCAATCTCTCCCTGAGAGTCTTCAAGTAATCATTTTTTCTTTCAGACATGTTGTTGGAATTCCTACTGTGTTTTGTGCACGACGAGGCGTTTCTTCTCAACGACGGATGAGAGCAGCCTAAACATTTCGCTGTTATAATTACATGGTACCTGGCGAACAGGAGCTGGCGGCCTCGCGGCGGTATAAACCTGGGTGAGCGACATCGCGATCACCGAGTTCAGGTCGCGTGAGATGTTTCTTCGTGGTTATCACTTCGGGATATATGCAGAACAAGAACGACGCATCTAAAGCGGCATGATTGGCATGAAAAGCGAAGGAATTTATCGCCGATGGCACATTCTGTGGCATCCATGACAGAAGGGATCAGGACTGCGTGTGAAATATCGCTACTTCCTGACTGTGGTGTGATTAGTGTATTATTTACAACAACTGAATTCAAATGAATGTCTCATCGTGTGTCTGCGTAACTGTAAGTACAGCTGCTTTTTTTTGCTATCGACTATATACCACATTGATATAACTTTAAAAAGTGTAATTTCTTTCTATTGTACGAAAGAACACCAAATTTTCCTGAACGTTACAATTGCGCAGGAAATAATAAATTACAATTTCTGCAATTGCAAAGAAAAGAAATAATATTTGCAATAATATTACACTAAAATCGTAAGTTTTCTCGAGTTAAGTCTGCGACTTGTTAACTCATTGTCAATGTTAAACAATTCCCATTTGAAGAAAAAATAGTTTAAACCTTCCATGTTTTCTTTTCATCTTCTCTCACAAATATTCTACTATTGTTCAGTATTCCCTATTCTTTGCTCTGCCTGTTTTTGCGTCTTGTAATTCCGTAATAAGTTTAACATATTTATCTCCCTCTGCCCCTTCTATCCTTCCATTACTTCTTCCAACAAACCCCTATGTTTGTTCGCTCCCTTTTCTCCTGCGTGCACTCCCTTATCAGATATTCAAGCAAATGCACCTTCTTTTCCTTTATCGTAATCACTCCCTAGGAAAATGACATAGAGCATAGCTATTTCGCGTGCAGTTGTTAATTTATCGCTGTTATTTGAATCGGGATCGATTTCTCTCGTCCGCCAAACTCCAATCGTGGCTCTTCCGCGTGCAGGTTTCGGAACTGGATCGGGCACATACATATATAGTATATATAGAGCGGGTACACACAGTCGGATGGCGCGTACCCCGCGAGCAGAAATTATCCACTTTTGCGGTAATTCGTAGCTGCCGATGCGCATGGGGCACCACGCAAAATGGCCGCCGACTCGCGAGTCCCGATTGGTGACGACGGGGTGGGTTATTGAACGGCGGTTGGTGGTTCAGCGTTGCCCGGCGCGAGTAATTTTGATCGTGATTATACTAATTTCATAGTATACCCCTTCTCGGTGGCTTAAGCATCGGCCGGGTTCACACGAGCAGCGACGCGAGCCAAGAGTAACAGTGCTCGTGAAATGCAGAGTGGTTCGAAAAGTCTCTTCTTCTCCTCGTCGCATCCGATTTTCGGACTTTAAGCACCGATTCCAACCGCTGTCACTGGACCATCGAAATCCTCAGGTACGTTTTTCCTTTAAAACACAAAGAAGCGATAAAGACAGTAATTTATCAGGTAATATTAAGTTGATAGTTCTTTTAAGGCTCAAGGACCTGTTTTATTGCTTTTAATCATCTATTGAAGATATTTTTAGCAATGTTATGTAACGTTTAACAATTTGACTGATCGGTTGTCATTCATGTGCACCAATGCGTATCTTTTCTTTTTTTCTGAAGTAAACAGAGAAGTTTAAAGTGCGCCGATCGTGCAAAACAGTAATCACCTCAGCTATTGCACTTATAAAGTCGGTTATGTTGAACTTTAATTGTTTTGCGTTAGCGCGGCGTGTATTCATAGGCAATAGGCCCCCGTTTTCTCTTTCGCCCTTCTCATTCCTCCTCTCTCTAGTCCCTTTGCGGTTTTCTCCTCGTCTGTTGCTCTCATTCTCCTTCTTCCTCTTCCTCTTCCGAGATTTCTCTCTCCCTCTCTATCAGTTCCCTCTCGTTCCTCTTCTCCTCTCCTCGTAGGCAGCGAGCGCTGCCATCGCTGCCGTCGCCGTCCTCGCCCTGGTGGGGGCTAAATTACCACAATTTTGTACTTTTTATACCGCGAGGGAAAAAAAGAGGATAATTTTTGGTGGAAACGCAACAATTTTATCGGCCGTTGTTATGTGAGATCAGTTGGTGTCTACTGCCGCTGCGCGTTACACCTGTTCGCGCTCGTACGCTTCGATCCACAACGGGACCGAACACGCGTTCCCGTTGTCACTTTGACCGGGAACGACCCCGCGAGCGTCTCTCTTCAGCGTCATCGAGATATGCGCGCCGATAGTCGCCATCTTGGCAACCTTGATGAATGATCCTTTATGTGAGGAATTCCTCGGCGCTTTAACCTTCCAATCCAACCCCCCGCGATCGCGCTCATCGGAATTATGACAGGTGACGCGTAATGGGCTATTGTATACATGTTATTTTACTTCCTTCACAGTGACAGTTGAAGTAAAGTGTGACATTTTTGCACGTGTGATAACACCACGCGTAGAGTCCATAAAATATTTATAATCATCGAAACTTCTAGCCTCAACATGTATACACGTATGATTGTTCGTGCTACCAAGTGTGTGCAGCGCAGACGAGCGGTCGCCATTTTGGAGAACGTTCGTTCTTTCCCCGCTAGGCGTTATACACGTCATTTTCATGTGTGGGTCAGTATTGTTGTGACAGTGAAACCCCCAATTAAGATTTTCTCCTGTCTTCCTCAAATTGTTTTACTTCAAATGTTTGACGCGATATGCTATACCTACGTAATAAGCCAGTCTATAGATTTTCTGAATAACTTATATAGTTCTTACCTAGATAGTTTATGCTAAACAAGGTACTATATCCATAACTACAGTGTTGTGATATTCAAGTTTGTCCAAGACAAATTTTCGACACCAGAATTTACACATTGAGATTATAAAAATTAATATTTAATTGGTTGAACACGTTTACCTGCATTTATAAATGACATATTCTCTAAAGCAGTCTGCTAAATATTCTTTTGCCACAATAAAATTTGATTGACTTTGCGATCTAATCAATTGCGGTAGCTCAGAAAACGGATGCTTCTTCAAAATCGGTCATGTAAGTAATTTGATGGAATAGAAACAATCGCCTACTGGCAGACGATTTTTAATTACTAGCTGTCGCTACGAAAAGAATTCGCTATCCTCCACGGCTTCTTCATCTTTAATATGTGTAGCGCCTCCCCGAATGGATTCTTTCCGAGTTCCATGCCGGGGGCAGAAGCATCACTGTCCCGGAAGATTTATATCCTTAGAAGTTACGTCCTCACGGGGGTGTTCACTCTGTGCTGCAAAGTTCTTTTCTTTGTTGATTGTTTAGCCGTGAGCGTCTCCTCTGCCGTACGCAAGAATTTCGGATACCAGTCGGTCGAGAGTATCGCAATAAAAAGAACGAAGCCCGAAAGGCATGTCGATGATCTTCTTATAGCCTTTGAGGCGATCTAGATGACGTAACGTTGTTAGAACTTATCTGATCTAGGGTTGGATGCTATTAAAAACCTTGATGCTACGCAGAGGGTATTCTTCTCCGGTCATCGAGATGAAATCGAGAACGCGCGCGCAAGGTCGATCGAGCAACTTTTATAGATGTTGATTTTCAAAAATCAAAGCATCGAGGAGATCAACGTAAACCGTTTTAACGAGATTTATTTCGCCGATGGTAAAATCACCTCGGCGAAATTGTCCATAAGTGTTAAAGTTAAATGCAGGTATTACCTCAACGCTAAAATAATGTAAGTACCATATAAGCAACATTTACAAGCGCTTATATTTACTCGGCTTATGAGTTGTTAATGGGTTGCATAAAGACGCTTCTCGTTGTCCACCGGCAATTTCAGAAAGTATACAACGAGTCAACATTTTAAACTGTCAGTTTATGAAATCGGATAATCTGAAGATATTATAAACGCGTTATATTCCTTACCGTATCGTAATAGTACTTTGTTAAATTGTGAATATATTGTTTTAGTACCGAACAGATATAAGAGCTATTTGAGTGACACTTTACTCATTGAAATTTTATATCACGCATTTATTATTATTGATTTATTAATTTTACACATCATTTATAAGTGACTCATAAATCAGCAGTTGCTCTAGATTCGAGATTGAAATAATTTGTAAAACTAAAAATCATTATTGACGATATTAATTATCGCTGAAACGACGGAGATTGTCTCGTCGCAAATCATCTATATCGCAATCTTTGCCTTTACACTCTTTTATACAATAATTATTTTGATTTGTTCTAAGTTAGTAAAAAATATCAGACCCGAATTTTAAATGTTTAGAAAATTGATCAGTGCGCAAAAGTTTGCTCGGTTATTCCCTACCGTATCACAATAGTACTTTGTTAAATTGTGAATACATCGTTTTAATATACTAAACAGATATATAAGATTATTAATTTTACACATCATTTATATATAGCTTATAAATCAGTAGCTGCTTTAAATTCGAGTTCGAAATAATTTGTAAAACAAAAAATTATTATTAACGATATTAATTATCGCCGAAACGCCGGAGATCGTCTCGTTGTAAATCACCTATAATTATAATTCTTTTATATAATTATTTAGATTTTTTTTAAATTAGTGAAAAATGTTAGGTTCAAATTTTGTTTAGAAAATTTAGTCAGTGCGCAAAAGTTTGCTCGGTATTTTCTCTCTCGGCGCGCGACTTGCGCCTTTTTGCGTTAAAATGGACGAGATCGGCGGATCGGTCGCGTTCATTATTAATGCCGAGGGTATATCTATCGCTCCCGGGCTTTTGGTGGACCAACGTCGAAATAGGGAAGGGGAGAAAGGCAATAAAACCGCACAAGGGCGAAGAGGACGGAGGTAAATAACGGTGGAGGAGGCGTGGTTGGCGCGATGCGGCGCCCTCAAAGCACGCGGTCTCGTTCCCTCGAGGATATACATCCTTTTAAGAAGAGCTCGAGGTATACGAGGGCGACCTAACCGACGAAACTGGGAGCCCCGGAGATAAGATCCTTCTAGTTATCGAACGGACTCCCGTTCTCCCGATCGAAGAGTGAAACCCCCGGAGAACCCGTTCACGGATTTCGACGGATGAGCCGCGGGCTAACCTCCTGATCTTCATCATCTCGCGCCCGAGACACTTCGCAGCCTTGAACTACCACAAGGACGCTTAATCGGACTCGATCTCTCTCTCCCGGACCATTCGGATGTCCTTGATTGATTTTAAGAAGTCTCTTCCTCCGCCGACTCCGACTCACCGTCGGCGATTTTCTTCCTCCGCAAAGCATTACAGAGCCCGTCGCAATGCTCGTTTGTCTCTTTCCGACGGCGGGAATGTTAGCACCTGCTACCACTCATTGTTCATCATGACCAATTTTTTTTTTTTTTTTAGTACTTGCACCTGAATTGAATCTGATGGTGAAATGCAATTTCTGCCGGAAACAATTTTGAATTTTTTTTTTTTTTACTAAATGCTATGCATGAAATTAGATAAAAAAATCTTGTAGATCTTGGGATACGGGACATTAACGCAAATGACAAATGCAATTGAGCCAAGGAAATTGTAATGGCCGTAGGAGAGAGGATGCGCGACATCCACCCATTCCTGTCCCATTTCCTCGAAAACGAGACAAGCTACATCCTGGTCGGATGGTAGAAATGATCGAAAAACACGCCTAAAGCCTCGGGCGTCAAATGGATACCTTCGACCCGGAGGATCGCTTTAACGATGATACGATGAACCCGCTGCCACGGAAACAAAGACTAAGACGTAAAAATGAAGGAATATACGTCGTTTAAGGTGGTAATTACACCTTCTTTTTGTATAACTCGCAGCCGCGGCGGCAGATGCGGTTAATGATAGCCCGAATGTGCCGATGTGTCTCACGGCAGGAGACGTACGCGACCCGGTTCCTCGGATTCTGGCGCCGCGTTGATCATCAGACACATTATATACAGCCGGCTACTACCAATCGGAATCGTCGGAAATATCGCGTGTGATGACGGAAACCCTTACACTTGAAGAGAGATCCGCTGCCTGCCAAGAAGTTTGAAGGATCATGGCGTTCAAATTGAGGGTTTTGGGGAGAGATTCTCTGTTGGATCTTCCGCGACGCGTGGACGCGCATAATAATAACTATAGTCATTCATTTGATAATTAGGTGGAAAAAATATCTTGAAAAAAATCTCAAAACTTCCGGCAACGGATTTCGAAATTTACGATCCTCCTCGCATGTCGGTTTCGCACGTTGCTTCCGCAGGTGTTCGAATAGTTCTGGGGTAGATTATATTTAATGAAATTGGTTAACTAAGTTATCGGCCATTTATTTCCTTAGCGTTCTGTGTTTCTCTCCTCATATTTATAAATTTATTATAATGCGCATGAATTATGAATGTCTCTCTCATTCTTTCGACTGATTTTATTTAAGAATCAGTATCGAGAGAAAAACGAAGAGGCATTTCTTACATTTATAATGAT